TGGGCTGGTAGCTGCTGATACAGGAGTCCGGATGGAGACCCCTACCAAGAACTGTTTATCTCCTGAGGTGCAGCAGAGGAGAGCTTTTCCTAAGCTGGAAAAAAAGGGAGAAAGAAAAGCAGCAGGTGTTTGGTCTGCAGCATTAGACAAAAGGGGAGGTGGTTTTAAAACAAAGAAATATTTCTTAGGAAACTATGAAGCTTAAATGAGACAGACGAGTTTGTCCATCAACAGATGGATAGTGGAAGTTGGAGACTAGTCTTTAATGCCAATGGGGACCAGAGATGATTAAATACTACTCCCTGAGATCAAACATAGAGAGGAGAAGGAGAGATGTGGCTCAGAGAATGAACGGATTCTAGTCCAAACTGAGTGTTTGTAGCAATTTGAACAAATCACTGCTTTTTGGTCCCCTCTCCTCCATTGAATATCAACACAACCCTAAATCTGAACTGAAGTTTAACTCAGTCATTTTGTTCCTTCTCAGCAGGTAAAGGTGAAAACACTCCTCTAAAGGCAAACTCCACATACTCAGGCATTGATTATCCCACTATAAAGTGACAGTTGTTCACCAAAATTACATATTTAGGACATACGCAATTAGTTTTTTTCTCACAAATTTTTAAAAAGAAAAAAAATAGCTTTACGTCTGTGTAAAACTATAACCCTGTGTATTCTACCTCAATCATCTTACCACAGCTTAACTAGAGAAGTACTCACCTCTAACTCAGCTTGAAACACTCTATGAGTCACACATATTGTAAATCAGAGATGTTATAAAAAGAAACGCAGGCATAGAGCCTCATTACCTGGTAACGTACCACAAATAAAATCAAACTTCATATTTGCTTGGAAGGTACTGCCAGGTTGTGCAAATGTCAGACAGACGGATTGTCTTTCTAAAGATAAATGTGAGCGACAAAGGTATTTCAACTTTGGTTTGGGGATATCTGATGAAATGTCTGAAAGCTTGAATTCAGAACTCAAACCTATAAACCCAGAGGGAGACAACAGGTTAAGAGGTAAGTAGGTATTAAAAATGTGAATAAGGTTTCCTTGTTCTCTGAAAGACTTGTGACTTTACTCAGCAGTACAGGGAATGAATCATGATAAATACTATTTGCCGCAGAATGGTTACCAACCCGTAGGGAGTACATTTAATAAGAATCGGTTTCCTCCAAAGGTTGGCCTATATGCAGCTGATGTTAAGGCAAGACAGCTTAAGCTGAGGTAATAATTAGACCCAGCAGCGAGCTTGCATGATGAGAGGTTTGATTTTAGTCTCAAGGGGAAAAAATCAGGACCGGGAAATTTCCCCAAAATTCAAAGAATGACTGAATGAAAGCTTTTGGTAAGTTTCATGAAGGTTACTTGCAATCAAGATGAACAATCTGCAACAGCTGGATACTCTGCTCACATAAGCCCTATTAACGCTACCCCGCTGAAAACCGATCTGTGCCGAGTACCTGCCGAGCTCGGATCAGTTAACATTCAGGAAGTTTGGTTATAATTGTGATATTTTGCTGTTTGCTGAGAGTCAGGCAAAGAAGGCAGCCTTTGGTGAATTTACTTGACAGAGTCGGCTTTTGGGAAGTGGATACAACAAAAGAGAGTTTAATCAGGGCTCACAGACACAGGAAACAATGACAGACATTGATGTTAATCACACTGCTAAGCCGAATCATCACTGGAAATAGTTTGGCAAGGTTGGGAAGCCAGAATTTTTATAAATGTCTTAAATTTCATGATTACAGAGGCCGACTGTAAGGAGGTGACGCGGTCTGCTCATGCACTCTTTGTTATCTGAGAACCGAGCCTGAATTAAACCATGCCGAGCCCTGCTGATGAACTTTTACCAGTTTAGCACGGTTCAGTTGTGTCTGGTGCGATCCGGTTCAGTTTTTCATGCCATTTACACTCAACAGTTATTTTGTTTACTGAATTCGGACTGATCTTGGCACGGTTTCAAAAGGGTAGTGTAAATGAGGCTAAAGAAACCACTTTTTTTGTTTGCAGATTTTTCTATTTCAACACATCTTTAAAGGGTAATAAGTATGCCAAACCAAATATTTCAGAATATTGTCCTTTTAAAGATATCATGTCTCCGCTATGTTAGACATCCAAACTCTGTACATGTGAAATAGCAGATATTTCCATTGAACATAACAAAAAAGTCAGCCCAAGAATGAGTTTTATATCCACATAGCTCTCTGTCATCACTTTTCTGTTTTTCTTTGCTTTGTTGCAATTATATGATATGATATTTTAAAAATCCATTGTGCTCCCTTGAAACACAAAAGAAAACTTGGCATATCCTATTCTGTACAGTGTGTTTCACTTTTGAAACCCTGTCTGCCAAACCTTGATGCCTGTGATTCATCCACCGTCTGTGGAAGATGGATGCCGCCATAGTGTCTAAAAGCTGCAGTTTTTCTTTTGACAGAGTAGTAATCTTTACTGTCACTTGTGCTAGCTGCTTCGGCTCAAGAAATCAACAACAAAAAAAGAGGAACCTTGAAGCACTTCTCCTGTTAAAATGTTCTGCCCAAGGTGGCTCTCAATGGGTTCAAATCCAGATTAACAGTTTTTTTCCTTTGGATTAAAAAAAAAACTATTAATGTGACCTAGCTTCTTTACAATTGAAATAAAATTCAAATCAGTCAACAGGTTGAAAAAATGTAAAAAGGTCCCATAGTCAGTTCAAATGATATCTAATTAAATTAATTTAATTAAATTCCTGTATTTAGTCTTGAGTTCACACCTTCTATCAGTTGATATTTATTGGTGATATTTTAGGGGTTTTTCTGACATTTTTTATTTTCATCCTTAAGCTCAATCCAGATAATTTTAACAAATCATTATTTTCAAAGTTTAAGTAAACTCTTAACTTTTTAAGGGCTGAAATAAAAATATTTAACATTTAACAACTACCGTACCTCGGAATCGATGTAGCTTTATATCACAAACCTGTATTGTTTATTCTCAGGCCTTAATTACAGATAAACATGTAATAACTATATGTTATTGACAGTCCTTTCTAACTACAAAATTCAGCATAGATATATTCAAGTCTCACCAAAACAGCTGGCAAACAACACATTAAACTGAATTTAGACTTTCTAACATTTTCAGACAGTCTGATAATGCAGCAATCCATCTAACCCCATCCCAGTGAACACAGAATTAGCTTTAGGGCATAAATGTTAACCCCATTACTGATCAAGCTGCAGAGAAATAACTTTTCTGCCAGATTTAATTGTAATCACAGATTAATTTGCTGACACCCTCACCATGTATGACCCAGTCACAGAAAAGGCAGCATGTAAGAGGTACAGCAGAGCAGCGGACACAGAGCTGAGGATTGCATAATCTTTTAATCAGCAGTACATAAACAGGGCTGTTAAGTTTTAAAAGGGGAAGTTCAACTTTCTGCTCTTCGCTAATCACCAGCAAAGGAAAAAAGCATAATATTTTTGGATCCTCATCTGTCTGCAACATGACTTTGGGAGCAAACACCTCTGCTGAAAGTAAATTGATCGCCTCGCTTCCAACTAGAAAATTAAAGGAAGAAATTTAATAAAAACATTTCCACCACTCTGAACATTTATTTTTTATTCATCAATTTATGTTCTGTAAAAATAAATCATTTTGTAAGATTAAAAAGAACAAATTGAATTAACCAAACTATGATTTGTGCCCATTCAAATCTGTTTAAATCAATGTTTGATTATTGAAAAACACTAAGTGAAGCTACTTCAGGCTGCTTTGTTTTTATTGAATATTTTTGCATTTAAATAATAGCTATCAAAACAAATGTTCTCCAAATAATATGAATAACGAAGAGAGGTTTTCTTATTTATCAGTCAACAGAAAAGATAAACAAATAAATTAACAAAGAAAGGGGTTAACACTGCAGCTGCTGTTCTATTAACTACATGACTATCAGTGTAATTGAGTAAGGACTGTAAAAACAGAAACTCTTAATTGGTCACCGTAAGACCATCTGCTTTTCCTGCAGCTTGTCATTATAAAGTGTTCACAATCATCCTCTCATAGCTTCAATAAGACCATGCTTTCACCCATCAGTGAAAAAAAAACAAAGATAAACTGTGTATTATAGGTTGTCATACACCAAGGTGTTTGTTTGAAAGGTAGGCAATGTTAAACAGAGGCTGGTGTATTAATTTTTTTTAACATTCTTCTGAAATTTTCCTTTATTCTCATTAAATGGACATAAAAAGAAGGGAAGACAGCAAAGATCCCAATGTATATATGGGAGCATCTAAAAATGATGACCTTTCTATAGGGGAACCTCTTCCTTTATTACAGAGGCTAACATGGTCCTCCATGGTGGCAACAATAATATCACCCAACAATACTTATTGAAGGTTTAAAGCAAGTAAAATATGATTTGGACAGAAAGGAGCAAAATAACCCTTCAGTTGCCCTTAAATATTATCAGTTTGAATAAAAAATGTACAATATAATTTTAATTTATATTAAACTGAATACCCCCGCGATAGACTGGCCACCTGTTCAAGTTGAACCCCGCCTCGCTCGTAGACAGCTGAAGAAAGTCACAAGCGATTAATAGATAGCCCTGTTTAGTTACCTCTGTTTTTTTTTTTTTATCTATTTAGTAGATAATTAAATACCCAATCTTTATATTTTTCACAGTTCTCTACCAAAAAGGCAACTAATTATAATGAGAAATAGCCATTTCTCTTTATCTCCCAAGGTTCTTAAGAGCTACAGTAAAAGCAAAGAGGTTAAAAGTTCAGCTGTTTGTCCTGGAAGAATATAAAACATGTCGCATGCAGGCAATTCGGTGTTAGGCAGTGTCAGAATGCAAAATAGTACCTTTACTGTAATGGTTTGGTTCTACTTTTAAGAATCACATACTTTCTTGAAGCATGCCCCCTTATATGATAGTTGCACCCTAATTGCTTATGTGTAAAATGGAGGGAATAGAGAGGGAATGATATGATTGTGACGGCAAGTGAAAGGAACTCTTTGTATTTTGCAAAACAATGTCTTCAAGGCTGGCTCCTTTAGTGGTGTATACCATTTAGATCAAGTTAGCTCAGTGTATGAATTCAGACTAAAGGCAGCATGTCAAGCTTTCAGCTTCATTGTACATGGCATTAAAGAGAACAGACACATCAGTAAGAAACATTGACTCTTCACACATTTGCCAGCACAGTAAAAATGAAAAAGATGAACAAGAGATCTATTTATGTTGATTTCATTCATCATGTTGGGAAACAATCAAATATAATATATTATTCATAGAAGAAACAGACTAACGATATAAGAAAGAGGCTTTACTTTTTATTTATTAAAACAGCACCATTAATATTTAAAGCAGTATTATTCCACATATCTGATAAAGAGAGCAATAAAGATGCAGCCTATTAAAGACATAGCTGAGGCTGACAGGACAACCACAATTACACTTCCTGCTGCGTTGACCAAACCTCCGAGCCCCGCTCCCACAATGATCTGAGCCAGCTGGACCATACAGGTGAGTGCAGCGCAGTCCATGCCGGTGCCTCTGGGACTTTTATTGCTCCCTAGAAGCTTTTGTTGTTCCTGGAAGAACAGCAGGGAGAAATTTTCTGATTAGTGGGTAGAAGGTAGATAAAAATATAACTTTCTTTGTTTGGTATTAATCATAATCATGTACTGTTTTGGGTATTACAAAGTTTTCATTAAAGGTTAAAACATAATTATGTGTATATTCTACTGAAGTCAAGAGTTCATTTGTTAATGGTCATAAATATTCCTACTTTTGTAAGAAGCTAGTTTAAATGTTATAAATAAATTTGTCCTTGTTACCAGAGCTCCATTAGAAGACATTAGCTGATAAGTGGTTTACCCTGTCTTTAACTTATACACCTTTATGCACACAAAAAATAACAAAACAAGCAAAAAGAAACATTTATTGTAATTAAAGTTCTTTCTTTATATAAATCTCTCTGTAAATGAAGCTTACAAACTAGGAAGGAATAAAACACCAGAGGACGTACTGGAAATCCTGCACTATTAAAAAAAATTCTGTGGTTGAAGCAGAAAAGTTTGTGTCTTCTAATTTAAAATATCCCTGCTGATAAGACGTCAACTAGAGACATCCCCATACCTCCTCTTCTCGCTGGTATTCTGCTATCAGGTTGAATGGGATTGTGTAGAGCGTGCTGGACATGACGCCGAACACACTGCAGAGGATGAGCGTGGCAATGACATCCGGAAAGAGGCCAATTAGGCTGGTTCCCATGCCGAACACAAAGTACCCCATGAAATACAACCCTTTTAGTCCGATGTATGGAAGCAGGAAACGTTGCACGTCTGAAAAACACCCAACCACACGTGTCACAAATAGGTACTTTTAATAAGTAAACAGCTCAGGCACATGAGGTTTGTTGTTCAGAGGAAATGGTGGATTATGTGAAAAATCATTTTACTGCACAGAAATGCATTCAGTATCTATGCATTGTGAAATAAGGGTGACTAAGACTCTTTATTCTATCCATAAAAACAACCAATTTTCATTGTTACATGGCAATAACATCATTATATGGTTCTACCAGATTTCAGATCAAGGACATTATCTCCCCTTCCTTTTGTAGTTGTTATTTTACATGGATACTTCCTTCCTCACACCTACTTTTTGATTCTAATACACATAGTTCTCAGCTTGCCTCTGGGAAAGCATCAATGGTGCAGAGCCTGTTAATGAGAGGCTTCAACCTGCAAACCCCTTCTAAAGTACAGGAAAAGTCTGATTGCCCTCTACTATCTGTTTCAGTGCATGACCTAGTCTGTCTCTCATGTGTCTGGATGGTAATAGATGGTGATTTCATTAATTATGGTTCAGAAAAAAAAAACAGACTTTGGCACAAAGACACCCAGCGCATCCACTTACATGAATAAAGAGCAGAAGACACCGCATTAATACACAGTCCCCAGCAGCCAATTTCTACACCTCTCTCGTAGGTGGCATACGCTGTAGAGTTGTGTTCTGCATAAGGATTTCCTTTATAAACAATCTGAAAAAAAGGAATGGAATAATCTGTTTAGAATAATTGTCTAGATGCTCTCTGAGGAGAGAACTACTATCAATAAATAGCCTAATTTAAACCATTTTCCTTCTGCGATATGTTTGAGATGACTGCTTAATGTTATGTAAAATGGGTTACATATATATAAAAAAAGCTGAAATGTTGGAACTGTAACTACTGTATACAGTCATATGTTTACATCACTTTTTTTCATCACAATGTTTTTATCACTGCTGCTTACCTACAGTACACTTTAAAATAGGAAATTGTCTAGAGAGCTGTATTTAACGAAATTTATTTGTTGACACTTATGTGTACAAAATGACAAAATAAAATATGTTTGCGAATTGCTAATATCAGCTGCAACAAAGTCTGCCACTCTGGGTCCCTTAACCCCACGCTGCTCCCTGGGTGCTGCACAATTGCAGCCCACTGCTCCCCAAGGGGTTGGGTCAAATGCAGAGCTGAATTTCTCCAGTGTGAGATTCATAAAGTTAAATTATTATTATTATATAATTATTATAAGAAAAATGTAAATTAATAAAAAAAATTTAAGCAAGTCATGCTTATGCAAAAAATGAGATCCAAATTGGCCATAGAGCTCAGTGAACCTTACTCAGGAAAAAGCCCATCATTTCCCAACCTATTCTATCCGATGTTAGACATGCACTACATCAGATGGATCCACAAGTAGAAGTGGACACAGAGCATTTATTGTTCATATCATACGACATAATGCAACCAATCTATGCAACCAACACTACTTACTCTAAAATACAAGTGTGAGCTATGGAGGTAAGTCTGTATACCCAGAGGAAACTACCTTAGAATACACTTTTGAAAACCAAATAGAACGGTGCAAACTGACATCTAAATTAAACACCTTGAGCCAATAGAACAATTACACCACATTTTTTAATCTTTTTTTTCCTCCACTGTCTGAAGTTTATTACAATAGATTATCCACACATCACTACATTTCTAAAGTCCTGAGTCAGTGGGGGTTAAATTAGAAACAGCAGCCATTTAGATTTACAATGGCTGTAAATAAGCTGTGCTCAAATGCATTCACTTAATTTTGGACATCCTATGTATTTATTTATTTTCTTACTTTCTTTTTCACTTCATCTGCTCAATTAAACAAAGAATTAAACTGTGCATCTTTTGTTCGCAGTGAAAGCAGGCTCTGCGAGAGGCTGCCAAAAAAAATATAACAGCCTGGCTCTCCAGTGTCTTTCAGTTGTTGCAGAGGACAGTTTGGAAAAGAGCCAGGTGGTGGAGATCATTCATTATCTAATCAATCTGTCTAATGATGTGTCAACTGGTTGCTCAGTGTTTTTACAACTTTTTAACAAGCTGTTCTCTGACTATAGTTGTGGAGTGTTGGCTTCTCCCAAAATTAATCCTATTTAGAATGAGCTCTACAAACTAAATGGGGTATGAGATCATTAACATCACCCTTTAATCCACTGAAATCTGTGAGATTATTCACCCTATTTAAGATTTGCTGTGCCTCCTTTACTCTTTTGTCTTAAAAAAAAACAATCCCTCCATAAAATTTTGAATATAAAAGCTTTAAAAAAGTGTATCATTGCAATTTGACATAAAATGTTGTTTGGCATATTTAACACAGCAAGGTACCAGTCATTGCATATATCTACACAACTTAAAGAAACAACAAAGTTTTTAAACGTCCCGTTGATTAAGTAGTAGAGAGGGTTGTTTATTATTATCAGCTGCTTGGTTGTTTATGAATTTAACAGTAGTTGAAATAAAGGGGCAGTAATAAGATGGTCCCACTAATGAAGGTTTTGCTGATGAAGTCCATTTTTTATGCTCTTAAGTAGTTTAGCAGGCTGTGTGCAGACAGACCGTGGAACAAAACTGTAGATAAGCATGACAAGAAGGGAGAAGAATTGCAGTTATAAATATCTGCAGAGAAGTGCATTGATTTGGAAAAACACACTGTTCAGTTTAGTGATGCATGAAATAGGTTCAATTACTTATTATATTGAATATTAAATGTGTAAGAAAAGTTGACAACTGAGCGCATGATATCGCTTTAAATGTTTTGGCTAGAGAAAAAAATATCAAATGCAACTTTTTATTTTCTCTCTACTGTAAAGGTTAACTTTAAAACTATTTCAATAGCATCTGTGTATAAGTTTTTATGTCTTATGTCCACTTGTTTTGTCACACTCTAATTTTTCTTATGTTGAACAATACAGGAATTTGTATTTATTTAATTTTTGAAACAGAAATAAATTCCAAATTTTGGTGGTAATCAGTCTTTGAAATTCCATTTGTATATATAGATATAGGAAGATTTTTGGTAAATATTCTAATAAAATAAAAATTGTACTTTATTGATATTACATTGGAGACATTTACCTCTGCATTCAACCCATCTCCTTGGCGAGCAGTGGGCTGCCATTGTGCGGCACCCGGGGAGCAGTGCGGAGTTAAGGGTCTTGCTTAGGGAGCCAGAGTGGCAGTCTGTGGGAGTGGGGTTCGACCTGAGAACCTCAGGATTCTAAGCTCTATGCCCTAACCACTACGCCGCCACTCCCCAAACACAAAATATAAAAGCTATAAAAAAGAGTAACATTGTAATTTGACATAAACTGTTTTTTGGCATATTTAACACAGTGATGTATCTGTGATTGAATATATCTACACAACTTAAAGAAGCAAAATCTGAAGCTCTTAAACATTTGTTTTATTAAGTAGTAGAGAGGGTTGCTTATCATTGTCAGCTGTTTGGTTATTAATGAATTTAGCAGCTTTTAAAATAAAGGGGCAGCAATGAGATGTTTTGCTGAAGAAGTCCATTTATTTATGCTCTTAATTAGTTTAGCAGCCTGTGTGCAGACAGATCATTATACCCTAATTATTGATAATAATAATAAAAAAAGTAAAATGCATTTGGAATAACATTAACCAAAAATGTCCATGCTATGAACACTTTTTTGCTAACTGCCACACTTTTCCTGGACTTTCTTCATAAAGCGGTTTTGATTTTCTTTCTCCAAAATAGCTGCCTTAAAAAGTACAGATATTGACTCAAACTAACCTGTCCCATGAAATCAGTAAAGAAGAGCATGTTGCAGAGAAAGGCTGCCCATCCCAGCAGGTGACTGATGCACAGGCAACGATAGTGGCTTGGCATGTTGATGAAAGCTTTCATCAGGGACCTGAAAGTCATCTTCTTCTGCTCCTGCACAAACAATGATCCAAGATCAATACTAACCTCTTCCAAGTCTCTCAGCCACAACTGACTCCTTTTGGCAAGTTTTCAAGAAACAGAATAGTGTGTGATTTTAGAATCAATGCCAAGAACCAATATATAAAGGTTAGAGGGGTGAGATGTGTGGTCACTGGAAATGTTCTGCAACATCCTGTTATTTCAGGGTAGTTTGTTGCCTTTTAGTGCATTAGCTTGGATCAAAAACAGCTATAAAAAATATGAGATTTTTAAAGTGAAGTTTTTTTCTTTATCTCATAAATCATAACAATCTAGTGTTAAGATGTTTGTCAAAAACAGTTAACGTTAATATATATATAGGATTGATGTTCTTAGTAAAATAATTGGCAGCAAACTGCATGTTTCAGATCCAATAAGAAAGAGCACAAATAGATTTGGCAGATCATGTTCAAATTTCACCTGTTAAGGAATAACCAATGGATCATTATCTATATCTAAAAATAATACGTCGGCAGTGATTTCATGAATTTAGTGTTAATTACTAAAAAAATCAAAACTATATATTTCGTCATGACTGAGTCACTGAGTCCGGAAATGGCAATTTTTGCCCAAATATAGTAACACCTCACTCCTGACATATTCCACCAGTAATGTCACGGTGCGGCAAGACTGGTGTCATTCTCTCCGCTTTACAAGCAAAATCAATTGGAATTACTAGATATATCTGTAATCATTATTTAAGATTATGAGAAGACTTCACCATTGACATTCACGAGAGCTATAGTTAAACACTGACAGTGCCCACATGCATGGCAGTTGGATGTTGTAATACATCAGTTAAAAGGGAGTTTTTCCTCTCCACTGTCGCTACAAGCATGCTTGGTGTGAGGGATTGTATTTGAGTTATTGCAATCAACTGGTTTTCTTTAGATAGAAAACTTTGAATCAATTTGACTGTATTATTTGGTTGAACTGTAAAGTGCCTTGAGATGACTTGTGTTGTGAATTGGCGCTATATAAATAAACTGAATTGAATTGAAAAGTGAAAAAGAAATTTGTTATTTCAAGTTTCTGATTCATGATGCAGCACGGGTATTAATCTGTAACTGTCTGATTCGCATAGTGCACTGGTTGTCGCCATCATGGATAATAGTGCGTTGTGACAAACACCAGATACAGCATTGGGACTTGCTCAACAGCCAATACCGCACCATGAAGTTACAAACCAGTAGGTGGCAGTAGTGCACTTTGAATTATTCTTAATTAAAAACACTTATCATTTATTGAAAAGTATGTAATGATTTCATACTTAAAGTGCTTTCAGAAGTTTCTATTCTGAATGTGAACAGACTTTTCCTTTAAAGCAAAAACCAGAACAGACCAGTAATTATTTAAATCTTAGATGTTATCGACACACATGAAACACTTTTTGGGGACTCAGTTTTCTTAGCATATCAAATAAAATGGACTCTTAAAAAAGTAAAACTCAGTTGTGACCTTAGCTGGAACTAAGCAATCACCTACCTTGTTTGGCTGCTTGGCGCTTGATGTCACAGAATTAGCTTCTCCCAGAGCTGAGAAGGATCTCGGCCTTTCGCCCAGAGCTGAATAAGATCTCGGCCTTTCGCCCAAAGTTGAAAAGGATCTTGGCCTGAGGTCTGAGGCAGATATTTGGACAGCAGGAGAGGTTGGCTCTTTACCAAGGGCTCCGTAACCATTGCTATGGGAGCCCAGTAAACGGAGAGCACTTGGAGACGAGGAATCAGACACTGAAGGCTCCTTGGAAAGAGGTGTCTCTGGAATGCTAAACAGGTGCACGGTGAGGAAAAAGCCCCAGGTGATTGCAGAGAAGAAGAAGATGACTTGGTACTCGGAGCCCAACAGACGACCTAAGGCTGAGTGGCCCCAGTCCATAGCTCCAACCAAATAACCACACGCTCCACCCAGTCCTGAATACAGACAGATGGAGATAAGAAAAAGAAATGCTCTGCATGAGATGTGAGTTCGCTAAAAATAAAATCTCCAGCAGCACTAATACACACAAAAGAAACTCCTTCATGCAAATGATCACTAGTTATAGTCATGTCAGTTGGAGTGGCAGCAATTTTTGGCGCCAAGCAGAGAGTCGTGTACTCACCACGGCATACACAGGTCAAAAGCAAGGTTAAGTGCACCATTAACCTGGAGGAACATTTTAATGCTTGTGTTTTATTCTGATGCCTTCCAGCTGGCTTTATCTCATGCCTCTCACAAACCGTTAATCTAAATGTGGGATTTATATAACACTTTAGCTGCACCTCTACTGATTTCATTGCTTTTATCACTAGTTTGTTATGGGGAGCATGTTGTACTCTCCATTACTGCAGGCCTCATTTAAACTGTTTCACTACTTAATGATCATTGTATATCATAAAGGGTTTGTATCTGTATGTCTCTTTTTAGTGCATTAGCGTAAATGATGTCAAATGAATGATTCTTTATAATTCATAGTGTGCAGCTTCTTAAAGTGTATTCTTAAAATAAGTTATAGTACACATTCTTTCAGAGGAGTTTCAACACTGGTAATTTGTATTCCTGTTGGGCAACATCTTCAGTATTAAACAAGTAAGCATCTAAAGATCTTTCATCCAGGAACTTGTTTGCAATTCTCAGATTAACAACTTAAAGAAAAAGTGGCACATGACCTGAGTTCTTCTAAACAGGTTTTCTTTTCTGTGAAGTCTTTCTAGGTAGAGAAGGCAGTGAAGCTTTGTCATTCCCAACTTGAGCAGGACAGTTATCCTATTTCAAAACCTTTTTTTTCTTAAACTGATGTTTTTCTTTCAGGCTACTGAAACTGTAGTGGTTTATGTGCGTCAGTAGGAGGTAGGCCTGGGCAAAAATAATGGATCCAATGAAATAATTCTTTGTTGCAGGTGATTTAAAAAAATGTAAATTGTTGTTTTTGTTTTTATAACGCCGCATTTTTGGCTCCTCTGTGTTTCTGTAGATGCATTATTACTCTGGGGGTTGGGGGGTGAATCATAAATCGAAGGAAAAAAAAAATCTTTAGGCCATATCATCCAGCCCTAGAAGGAGGTGATAATATTAAACATTTTCTTAGAATAAAAAAAAAAGCATATGCTGAGCATTTCAAGAAAACAATGGCAGTCCTTTTTTTTCTTAAACTGTTTACCTAATTCCTGAAACATGCATTTTAACTCTGAAGAGTAAAGACAAAAAGAGGCACTACTTTTGTTGATTCTAATCAAAAAATCACATCTGGTATGTAATAGGTATTTTGTGCTATTGTTTTTTTGTTTGTTTGTTTTTGGTGTATACCACAAACAGGCTAAATACAATCTGCACTCTAGAAAATGTTTTCCAAAGTCTTATTGCTAAACTGCTCTCTGATGTTGACCTCTAATGGATTAATTCAACAAACTACTAATATGGACCCTTATTTCCTTCGCAAATGTTATTTTACCCTTGACTTACTTTTTTCTTAACACTACATACATAAACCCTTTTTAAAAATTGTATATATTAAAACCATGTTGTTTCAGAGATTGATTTCATAGACTACGGATACATAATCATAAAATGATCAAATCTCACATATTTCAACCCATTTCCATGTATCGTAGATCTGATCATTATCTTGGCTATTTTTTTCTGTAATGGGACAGGTTCAAAGGAAACTAAAATACATATCCAACAGATATTATTTACTGTCATAAATCCACATTTCTCTATCATAGAAAATTGCTTTAAATCACCAGCTGTCACAGTGGGTACAATTTCACATATGTCAGGTACAAAATGCCCCTTTGTGGAAGACTGCCACTTTTTACTGGAGATGGAAAAAAAAATACAGAGAAAACTAAGTATGAAATGTTCTTTATTTTTTGTGAATTTGCATAGCCATCATGCCATTTGACTTCTAACTGCTTCAGGGCATGAGATTAGACAGAGCTGAGGAAACTCCAGTAATACTTCAATTAGAAAACTTCTGAGTTGTAAGTTCTTGGAATAGAAAAAGTTTTTCCATGTGTAAAATCAGCATAAAGGGCAGATGAAGCTAGAACAACTTGCTGCAGTTTTGCTAATGAATGCACAGTTTTTCAATCAAAGCCTGGTGTCTCTTCACAGGCTCCAAGGCATTTGAAAGAACCATCATTATAGAAAGAAACTAATACCACCAAAGGGGAAAATGGCAAAGCTGTAAAATGACCTGGTATCTAATACATACAGGGTCTCAAAGCATCAGCTGTCCTTAAGCTTCATTGGAAATGAAAACATTTGGAGAGAAAGAAGTGCAGATTATGGTTAATTCTCTTAATAGAATATAGAATTAGAGGAAACGGTAATGAAAACAAAATAACATTTTTGTGTGGTTGCACTCAGTTTAATTTAAGATAGCATACAGTTGGATCATATAACCCCTTTCAACATTTTGCACTTTGGTCATTTTCTTTCTTTCTTTTCTTTCCTTTTTTTTTTTTTTTTTGCCTGAAATGGAACAATTTGTATCCATGAGGAGGTTGTTTTGTACTTTTAGAAAGTACATTTATAGCAACTAATTTTCTATATTCTGCTCAGCCTTTTACTCTCATGACTCTCATGACTCAGATGAATATTATCTACCAGCAAAAGGTTATTTTAAAGTTTACTTTAAAAAAAAGAACGTTGCTCAGAACACAAGCAAATGGAAATAGTTGAATAAACCAATATTTTACTGCTAGGTTATATAATACGTGACATTTAAGCCTTTTAGAGCCATTTTTGTAACAAAACATTTACTTTAACCTAAAATAAACTAGCATCATGCTGGCATACATGAGCTCTCTGATTATATAATAGAAAAATTTTGGATTTTTGTCAATTTGACGACAGATTAGTGTGTTTGTGGGTTTTTTCCCAGTTTTTTTTTTTTTATTCATTTATTGACAAACTAGTTTTGAGAAATTTTTATCAGAAAAAACGCAAATTTGTTTACTGCCAGTGTTGCAGCTGCTGGAATATAGCTACAAAAACAGACATTTGAGTTTAAAGAAAAAAAAAAAACCTTCAGGAATTTTTTTTTTTTTTTTTTTTTTTAGACGTCATCTAATTGTAATTAACAAGAATACATAAAGAGACTGCTATGAAAATAACACATATGGTATGTATTTTCTTAAATGTCACATCTGTCGCTACGTCAACGCTTTCATTATTTATTCTTCCTGCAGTCTTTCCTGTAGAGATGAAGTTAAATAAATGTCTGACAGCTAATTTAATGGGCATTTCAGAAGAAAACAGTTGAACTTTTATGGGTTGAACAGGAAGCCTTGATCGTGGTAATTAGCTATTGCGCTGTAAAGTCGACACCTTTTGTTGTTTTCTTAATGCATGTTGGTTTGCAGAGAGAAAATGCAGTTTTCTGAGGCAAAGCTGGAAAAAAAGACTTTTCACTTGATCACATACTTGCATCACTCAGACTGGATCACATACAATAGTTTACGATGATCAGATGTCTGATTTATTAAGTGCAGTTCTCTCTTTAGCCAGTTCAGGGAAGATAAAGCCATTTTTCTACATTTAAATAACTGCAGCTTCAAAATCAGCCACTTACGATTAACACTTTAGTTGCTTCTTCTTTACTGATCTCCTCCCAATTTTATGATCTCCCTCAATTTTCTGTATCATCAATACAAATTTCAATAGTTTCACTTTCAGGTGTTACTGTGAGCTTTTTCCCCCCCTAATCGCCCCACCATAGAGCATATTGGAAAAGGTAAAAAAAGCAGCAAAAAAAAAAGGGAAATATTTAAAACTGTCCAGAGGAAACTTCATAAAAAGCTATCAAAAAGCAATCCCAAGACTAAATGAAACTATGATTGAGTTCTGATTTATAATAAAACAGAAATAAGGATAAGAAATAAGTTAAATAACATGCTGGAGAATTCGTGCGAGGGATCTTTTTACAGGTAATGTCCATTTTATAATTTCTTTTTAAAGCTTTTCCCATAGCCAGTGTGCAGTACAAAAATCTGGGTCATTCAGTAAAACATGATTTATAATGCAACAGAAGCGAACAAGAAAAGATAAAAAAATATTTAAATATTCATTCTATGAATGGGAAATTTCTTTCTGGGATAAATCATTAAAAAGCAACTAGATAAAGTGAAAAATTCAAAAAAATGCCTGAGCAATTACAGGTGCTGGTCATAAAATTAGAATATCATGAAAAAGTAGATTGATTTCAGTAATTCCATTTAAAAAGTGAAACTTGTATATTATATTCATACATTACATACAAACTCATATATTTCAGATGTTTATTTTGTTTAATTTTGATGATTACAAATGACAACAAATGAAAATCTCAAATTCATCATATCAGAAAATTAGAATATTGTGAAAAGGTTCAAAATTGATGGCCCCTGGTGCAACACTCTAATCAGCTAATTAACTCAAACCACCTGCAAAAGCCTTTAAATGGTCTTTCAGTCTAGTTCTATAGGCTACACAATCATGGGGAAGACTGCTGACTTGACAGTTGTCCAAAAGACGACCATCGACACCTTGCACAAGGAGGGCAAGACACAAAAGGTCATCGCTAAAGAGGCTGGCTGTTCACAGAGCTCAGTGTCCAAGCACATTAATAGAGAGGCGAAGGGAAGGAAAAGATGTGGTCGAAAAAAGTGTACAAGCAAGAGAGATAACCGCACCCTGGAGAGGATTGTGAAACAAAACCCCTTCAAAAATGTGGGGGAGATTCACAAAGAGTGGACTGCAGCTGGAGTGAGTGCTTCAAGAACCACCACACACAGACGTATGAAAGACATGGGTTTCTGCTGTCGCATTCCTTGTGTCAAGCCACTCTTGAACCACAGACAGCGTCAGAAGCGTCTTGCCTGGGCTAAAGAGAAACAGGACTGGACTGCTGGTGAGTGGTCCAAAGTCATGTTCTCTGATGAAAGTAAAT